GAGTGGGGCAAATGAAGGTGGAGGCAGGTATGGGTGCTTCACCTATTTTCGACGACCCTCCAGTCACAGGCCCACCCTCTAATCTCTGCGTCACCACTCCCTCTCTACCTTTAGCATTGCGTACCAACTGTCAGCATGGTGGCAGAGGGCTGATGGTTTGGGCTCCACGCAGTTACTGAGTGGAGCATGAACTCCTCTGTACACCAAAGGGTTCTGGAGTCAAATGTGAGTCCATCTGTCCAGGAGCTGGAGCTTGGACCAAGCCTGGTCCAACAGGACAATAAACCCAAACACAGCAGCTGATCTACAACTGAATGACTCAAAAAGTAACAAGTCAAGGTGCTGAAATGGTCCAAAGTCCAGACCCTCATCTTTACTGTAGTGAGTTTTTCCACAACCTGCTTCTGAATTTCTTTTAGATTTCATTTGAACTAATCATGTCTCGGTATAATTAGACACGTTTCTGTTTGTTGGATAAACCTGTCCTTGCATTAGTTACTTACTCAGAAGGAGGCACACACGACGACAGGAGAAGATTATTTAACCCACTTTACTTGAAGGGCAGAGTTCATACCGGCTTACACACCACACCTGGTTCTCTCTCACGGTTTGTCTGTGAACGACATGGAACTATATGATAATGTGATTTCTGACCATAGGCCTGTTTTATTTGATGTTGGTTTGTCCTGTGCTCCAGTTAAATCCTGCGCTCCTGCACAGCGACGTAGAGTTTGTAACTCTTCCACTGCTGGTCAGTTCTCTGCTGCCTTTGAACAGCTCTGTGCTCCCTCTTGCTCTGCTGCTGACACTGAACAGCTGAGCTCCTGGTTTGACTCCTCCTGTCAAACCATTTTGGACTGTGTAGCTCCATCTAAACTGGTGCGGCCTAAAGCCAGATCTGAACCCTGGTTTAATGAAAAAACTATTGCAGCCAGACAGGAGTGCCGCAGAGCTGAACGGAGATGGAAAAAGGATTAACTGGAGGTTTCATTTTATATTTTAAAGGACTGTCAACATCAGTACCAGAACACTGTTAAAGAGGCCAAAAAACAACACTTGTCAGATATTATTGTGTCCAATCATAATAATCCATGTGTCCTTTTTAAAACTATTGACTCTGTCCTGAAGGCCCCACAACCTGTCTGTCTGGAAGCCTCTACCCAACTTTGTAATGACTTTCTGCAGTTTTTTATAAATAAGGTTGTTATAGGGCTGGATGATATGGCCAAAACTTTTATCACGATATATTTCTTAATTTCGGTCAATAACGATATAATTCGATATTGATATAAACAATATAAAAGCCTCAGAAAAACTACAAACTATACAAATAAATTAATGTTCACCTTTTTATTTGTATTTAGCCTTAAAAAAAATTAAATCACTGTCAAATAAACATAAAATTCTCAACTTTGTCAATAGTTTTAAACTTTAAACAACAACCTTAAAATTGACAGCATTGAAATTCATTGTTAATGAAATACAATTTTTGGGTGTCGTTATTTATGAGAAGCTGACATGGAAATCTCATGTAAAATACTTAAAAATAAAAATAACAATCAATTGCATTTCTGTATAAAGTAAAAGAGTTTTTGAACGACAAAGCTTTGTATATATTGTATAATGTAATGATTGTTCCATATTTAATCTCTTGTAATGAAGTTTGGAGAAGTATGAAGAGCTATGGTCACCCAACAAATATATTATGTCATCAATTGAAATTATTAAAATGTTATGATTTGGTTGAATATAGTATTTTACAAGTCATGTATAAAGCTCATAAAAATATTAGCCCCAAATATTCAATTAAAATTTGTAAAAAAAAAATAAATATGAAAAAGGGAGAGTCAGTATAACTTAAGGGAATGGAAATGTTTGTAAAACCTCCATTTAGAACTAGTGTGAAGGAGCTGTGTTGTAATTCAGGGAATAGGATTATGGAATTGTCTTTATCACCATAAAAATTTCTAAAACAATTTGTATGTTTAAAAAGATGATAGTTAAAGTTGTTGGGAAGGTATAGTACCACGTGAAGGATACCTGAAGTTTTTTTGTTTTCAGTTTGGAGATTGTTCAAGTCAAGGTTGTTGTTTGTTTGTAGTTATTTTGTATTTTTTAAATAAGAATTTTTTTCTTCTTTCTGCAACCTTTTCATTCAATGTTTTTCTTTTTCTTTCTGATGAATTTGTTTTATTTTAAATGAATGAATAAATGATAAAAAAAAAACAACATGCAGCACTGGGTGTGTTTCAGGGACACACTGGCTCAAACTTTTATTGTGCTTCATCTTGTAGCTCATCATATTCTGTCAAGTGGAACAAGTTAGATGTTCCAACCGCTAGCTAGACTGACTCTTCGTCACATTTTGCAGCACACTGACTGAAACCTGCAGTTTATCGGATCTTAGAAAGCCGAACCACTTCCAAACCAGCAAATTAGTCTTTTCTCTCTTATCAGTGATGTCATCTGCTTTCTCTTCGCTTGTGAAAGCTTGTTCAGTCACATTCTGACGATCATGGGCACTCATTTTGAAGCAAAAACTTAACACACATTGGAGATTAGCCTAGCTTAGTCTGCTACCACTAACGCCTTCTGGACTTGAGCTCTGTGTAACATTACGTCACCACGCACTTAAGTAGTTGTGTCGCACCTTTTTCTGTCCGAGTTGAAACTGAAGTGGCTGCTTCAACCCGAACAGAAAAAGAAATGCGTCAGTGAAATGCTGTATCCCTATCGAAATATCGAAAATGTGTTTAAAACTCATATCATCGTTATTGAATAAAAGTATATTGCGAGATATATCAATATCGAATTATTGTCCAGCTCTAGGTTGTTACCACAAGGGCCCTTATTTCAGCCCCTGCTTTTGACCCCTCCTGCTTGGTCCCCTGCCTGGCTGTGTTTGATAGATTCGAACCAGTGACCCTGACCCTTTTAGAGGATGTGGTCGGCCATTTTATACCATCAGGTTCTCCTCGTGACCTTGTCCCCCCCTCGTCTTTTAAAAGAGGTGTTTTCCAGCATCAGGCAGGTGATTCTTGCAATCAATAGCAGTCTGTCCTCAGGTGTTGTCCCAATAAGTTTTAAACATGCTGTGGTGCAGCACCTGCTTAATACGCCTAGCCTAGACCAAACTGTCTTGACTAATTTTAGGCCCATCTCCAAGCTGCCTTTTATTTAATTTTTTTTAGAAAAAATAGTGTATTCACTGGTCAAATGTTTTCTAGATGAGCACAATATCCTGGAGGTTTTTCAGTCTGGCTTCAAAACTCGCCACAGCACAGAATCAGCTCTAGTCAGAGTTTTTAATGATATTCTTATGGCTAATGATTCTGGTGAATATGTGGTTCTTGTCCTTCTTGACCTAATCGCTGCCTTTGATACCGTGGACCATACCATTTTAAAATCACGCTTACAGCGCCAAGTGGGTATCTGTGGTACTGCACTGAGCTGGTTTAGGTCCTATCTAGCAAACAGAACCATGTCTGTCAACATAGCTGGGTCTGAATCCTCCACTGCTCCTCTGTGTTTTGGGGTTCCACAGGGCTTTATTTTAGGTCCCCTGTTTTTCTCCCTTTACCTGCTTCCATTGGGATCAATCCTTAGAAAGCATGGGATCTTTTTTCATTGTTACGCTGACGATAGTCAGATCTATATGCCACTAAAAGAGAAAGATGCCCCCTCAGTTAGGCCACTTCTGTTGTGTCTTGAAGACATCAAAGCCTGGATGTCTTTAAGCTTCTTAAATTTCAATGAAAAGAAAACAGAAGTGATGGTGGTTGGTCCTAGTGGCTCTTGTGAACCTTGCCCTGTTTATCTGGGCCCTCTAGCGCCACATGTAAAGAAAACTGTTTCTAACTTGGGTTTTAAAATGGACAGTGATTTTAAATTAGATTCCCAGGTTGGAGCGGTGGTCAAGACCAGTTTTTATCACCTCAGACAGCTGGCTAGGGTAAAGTCCATTCTCACAAAACAGCAGCTGGAAACAGTAATCCATGCCTTCGTCACCTCTCGGCTGGATTACTGCAACGCTCTTTACCTTGGAGTCAGCCAGTCCTCCCTCAGACGCCTCCAGTTGGTCCAGAACGCTGCTGCTCGGCTTCTAACTGGAGTTCAAAATAGGGAGCACATCACCCCCACTCTGGCTTCACTCCACTGGCTGCCTGTTCATTTTAGAGTTCATTTTAAGATTTTTTTATTTGTTTTTAAAAGTTTAAATGGTCTTGCTCCATCCTACCTCTCTGAGCTGCTCAGATCATCTGATCAGCTGCTCCTGGAGGTGCCGAGGTCTAAACGGAGGCTCAGAGAGGACAAAGCTTTTTCTGTTGCTGCTCCAAGACTGTGGAACGATTTCCCTCTTCCCATCAGACAAGCCGCTTCACTGTCCAGTTTTAAAACTCTTTTAAAAACACATTTTTACTCCCTGGCTTTTAGCACACACTGAATTTTGCTCTGCACTGTTTTTATTATTATTTTTTTATATTAATGTTTTAGCAACCGTTTTATGTGTTTAAATGTTCTTAATTTTATATGTACAGCACTTTGTGGCAGCTGTGGTTGTTTTAAAGGGCTTTATAAATAAAGTATTATTATTATTATTATTATTATTATTAAATATTATTACTATTATTATTATTATTATTATAGTTTCATCAGAGCCCTGGTCACAATGAACTGCGCCGGACACATGTTTTTATACACGCTTATCGGCACAATGACCTCGGCCTCTCAGCACAGACTCGGGTGCCCTTGGAGTACCAGCTGCACATGCAGCTCCTCTCTCTGAACTCGCACACATGGTTCAACATTAATTTAACATTAGCAGTGATAAACTTTTACCTCAACTCCCCGGACAATGTTTATCTCCACATACCTAACCTATGATTTTGTGAGGTTCAAACTTAAACAAATGGAGATTGAAGTAGCATATCTTTAACCAGGACTGTTTTACTGAATTTGATGTTTTCTGTTCCTTCAGATCATATTTTCCTGTTTCACCAGTTTCTCCTGTTTCCTGCTGCGTTTTCTTTAAACGGCTCTGTCCCTGAAGCCAGCGTTGATACGGATGCTGCAGCAAAGCCATTGTGAACAACTTTGTCTCTGTGTTCTGAGACTTGACACGATATGAGACACTGCAGACCCACAACACATCATGAGCATTCAGAGTTTGGGAGGAGCATTAGGAGAGTCCCTGGGCTCTAGCCTGACTGTGCGTATGAGTGGAGCAGGTTGTGGTTGGAGTGCTCTCTCCCTGAAACCTGCACCCTCGGCACGTATCGCCTCAATTTTCCAAACTATGGTCCCGACTGGTTATACCAAACTACAGGAGGAGCGACTGGCCATGGGTGATCTGGGCACTAAACCTGAGGCTGGCTCGCAGAATGGTTACAGGCAAGAGGCTTCTCATATTGAAGGCAGACGGATCCTCGAGCGGACATCTCGATCCTCTCTAACTTTATCTGACAGTGGTGATGGAGGCTTCTCTGAGACTGAGCCCATGCTCGCCGACGGGAGACTGTCTGGGGAGGAAGCGAGTAATGAGGAGGAAGATGATGAAGGATCAGACGTGCTGAATATGCCAAAGGAGTCGCCGCTTGCTATGGCTCTGCAGATTTTGGTGCCTTTTCTTTTAGCAGGATTCGGAACTGTATCTGCTGGAATGGTGCTGGATGTTGTTCAGGTAAGCTGCACTATATCACAGCCATGAAGCCACAGCCAGCTGGGCTTAGATCTGGAGACAGGCTGGAATTAAAGGCTCACTTATCTTACTGCAACTAGCACAAAGACCACAGCACTTTTCAGATCGAGGGGTGTCTTTAAGGGCAAGACGGAGCAGGTGGTTTTTACATCAGATTACATGTCAACAGAATGATACTCTCCCATATTTAGTGTTGTTACACTATCACAATTTAAACTTTGTCTGTTCACAAGCATATGTTTAATAACCGGGCTCAAGACTTATATTTTTCCAGTAGGGGTGCTCTTAAATGCAAATGAGACTATCACTATTTATTTTAACATAAGCTGTGAGTGGGTGGCACAATGGAGCAGTTGGTACAGCTGTTGCCTCTCAGTGAGAAGGTCGCTGGTTCAAATCCCAGCCTGGGACCTTTCTGGATGGAGTTTGCATGTTCTTTCCATGCTGCGTGGGTTTTTGCCTGGTCCGCCAGTTTCCTCCCACAGACCAGAAACATGCATGTTAGACTGACTGGTAACTCTAAATTGTCCTGAGGTGTGAGTGAGAGAATGAAGGGTTGTTTGTCTCGTTTGTCTTCATACGTCCCTGTGATGGACTGGAGACCTGTCCAGGGTGTTCCTCCCCCTTTCGCACAGTGACGGCTGGACACGGGCACCAGTGACCCCCGTTACCCAGACAGGAAGAAGTGTGTAAAAATAATTGTTGAATGTATGGATGAGTAGTGAGTTACTGACAGACTATGTCGTGCCTCAGATTTTAGACAACCATTCCATGCTGGTATTTGCAGGCCCTGCGGATCTCCTTACTCAAGTTCAAGTATCTTTATTATTCACAAAGTTTGTTTTCTCAGTCATCCTGGATGACTGAGAAAACAAACTTTGTGTTTTTGAAACCATTAGTGAAAAGGCCAGACTTCAGGGGTATCTGAGGCAGGCTTGAAACACAAGAGTCAGGGTGGCTTCTGGGTAATACCAGATGGCTAGGCCTCAGACTGACGAAGCCTCTTGGATGAGGGGCGAAACATTTCTTTTTAACAAAAAAACGAAGTCCAGATGACATGATTCAACCTTTTTTGTTATCTTTATTATTGTTTGCATCACATGTGGTACATGAGGTGGAACAAAACTGTGTACACAGGGTCCCAGTTACATCAGCTACACATTAGGGGCCAAGATGGTGTAGGGGCAGGGCAGCCGTCTTGGGACCCAAATGTCCTGGGCTCGATCCCCGGTCATTGCACATCTCGTGGTGTCTCTGAGCAGGACACCTAATCCCGAATTGCTCCCCGGGCGCTTGCATAGCTGCCCACTGCTCCACCTGGGTGTATCCCAGGTGCGATGGGTTAAATTTAGAGAACCAACACATAACACATTATCCAAAAATAGCAAAACTATAAAGTGTAAAAAGAAAATGTATAAAGATCCAAGATAAACGCTAAACACTAATAATGTAAAATAATTCGGTATACATTTTAAACAGCAGCCCTCAGTAGAGGTCTGGATAGACCACCACAGATTTGCTACAGATGTTTTCTTCTGAAAAGCCTCCGTATCCTTTTGCACTCTATAATTTTTTTCTTGTTTAAAACCTTTTTTTTTAAACCAGGAAGAATCCACTGACATTATTAATCTCTTTTACAAGGATGGCCTGGGCAATATACAGCAACACAGTCTTAAGAACAGTAACAGGAGTATTAAAGTATTTATAACAAAATGTCCGTTAATAAAACATAAAATACAATGTAAGTAAAAAAATCACAATAAGACACTTAAACATTACAGGTGCAAGATGTGACTGAAAGACCATAATGTATGATGGGGCGCCCATTGTGATCTTAAGACACCCCTGAAAACCTCACCAAGACCCTTCAAAGATCATCCATGTTCCAACTGAACCTTGTTCCGTCACAGCCAGTCATTGTTGTAAATGGGTCCTTGTTGCCTCAAATACAGGAGGTTTTAGAACAGTGACTGAAAGACCGAAGACACCTTAACTGGACAATGCTAAATGGGTTTGAGTGCTGGTGGTGTAAAATATGACCTGTGACATGTCTGCAGCACTGGGATGCGTTCCAGTACATCACAGAGATCTTTATCCTGGTTCCTGCGTTACTGGGTCTGAAGGGGAACTTGGAGATGACTCTGGCCTCGAGGTTATCTACAGCGGTGAGTTGTGGTTTGTTGGAACATGTCCACTCACCTGGTATCACTCACAACAATTAAAGGCATAGCAATGTTTTAGGAATGTATTGCCCCTTTTCCACTGTGACGGCGCGGGTCAAATATGCTCGATTCACCACGGTTTTGAGCTGTTCTCCACGAGTACTTTGTACCTGTTTCACCCCCATTTTTTGTCCCTTCTTCTCAAGGGGTCCAAGCGAACCGAGCCAGCATAAAACGTGACGTCAAAACACTGTCGGTCACTGATCGGTCAGGGGGAGGAGTCACTGGGTCTTTCAGAAAACTTTTCACCGATCTGCCATTTGCAATTACTTGGAACAGTGGCTTTTAAATACTTTCAAACAATAATGACAACACCGTGGTATAATGTTGAAGTCCAGGCGTTTTTTGTATTTGGTGGCCGACGACAAAATTCAGAGGGAGTGAGATAGAGCTCCGCCAGTCTCCCCGGAGCTTCGGAGCCTTCTCGGGGCGTCATCTCCCCGGCTCCAAGCTCCGCCAGTCACCACGGAAGATCCTCCGTGCTGCCGGATCGGGCTCCGTGGTATAATGCTGAAGTCAAGGTGTTTTTTGTGTTTGGTGGCCAACAACAAAATTCAGAGCGAGCTAGTAAACGCAGAGGATCATACGAGCTGCCGTCCCGTTGAAGCATGTGAGGCCGGGGTCCGGGCCCTGGCCTCACATGCTCACGAAGCCCGGATTCTGAGCCCTGGCAGGTGGGAGGACTGGGACGAAGGGTGGAAACTTTTTTTTTTAAACATTTTATGTATAAAAAAACGTTGTTTTTTTTAAAATCAGTGAAGATTAAAAATAATAAACGGTGCCGACTTTATCATGAAATCCTGTTTTCACTTTAATGACTTTATTAAATAATCTGTTAACTCAGCTGAAAAATCATAAAAAGACAAAATTATTGGATCTCAGGAATATTTCCCTCAAACATGTTTAAAGAAGAGCTACAGCCTTAAGTTCAACTTTATTCTAACCCACACATGTACAAATCACAAAACAAAGAATTAAACTTTAAATCAAAGCTAAAATAAAATAATCTGTATACAAGAACCAAAACCACACATCTAAATTGAACAATAAAAGTAGACACAATGAGTACAAATACATCAAATGATGAAGAAAAATATAGAACTTTAAATACAGATGTTTTTGTAGAATCTGGTTCATCAGAGATTTAATTCAAGTCAGTTTATTTATATAGTGCCAAATCACAACAGAAGTCGTCTCAGGGCACTGAACTGAAATATTCATATATAAAATAATAATTTAACATTATTTATCTGAGGAGCAGACTGCTTTGAGTTTAACTCCATCACAGAACTCTCACTCTTAATGGTGAACTAAAGTTCATTAAAAGTTTGTTAGCAGGGTTTCTATCTATCTGTCTATCTATATGTCTGTCTGTCTGTCTGTATCTGTCTATATCTGTCAATCTATTGCTTTCTCTTTCTCTCTCGATATAGCTATACATATATAGTTTAGTTGGATCATTTTAATAATCTGTATTCTTTTTAATTTACCTGAAACTTCAAAATAAATTCTCACCCTGTATATGAAACCTGTTTCAAGTCATGATTTTGAGCTAAATCCAGATTTTCCATCTACAGTGTTTGGTAAATAACTAGTGTCATAACAAAAGTCAAGATATTGTTAATACATCTTTATTGTCAACATTTATACTAAAATGATACATCGATGGAAGGTAACAGCCTCTTTCATCTTTAATGGCACGCTGTTGCTCCAGAGCTGGACGTAAACAAATTGTAGGTCTGCTGCAGTTATTTTGCTGGAGAATCACCTGAAACACACACAGCATGTATTACTAAACCGTATTTAATTGACACCAGGTGGTAAGGGGATTTGGAATCTGGACCCGCCTACAGAACTGGTCACAATGGAAATGCGACGTGTAACCAGCTGATCTGAGCCGATCTGCGCTGTCAAAGTGGAAAAGGGGCATATGTGGCCCACCACCTTTTGTGCCAGAGTTTTAGACTAAAACCACTTTATGTGGAGAAATAATGGAGTTGTAGGCATTTTGGTGAAAGCTTGAAATGGACATTATGCAGGATCTCATGTGACATTGTTAGGTCTTGAGAGATGTGGTGGCACTCACAGGAGTATATTTTGTACTAACTATTCAATTTGTAACTTAATGTTTGTAACATTCATTAAGATCTAGACATTTTTGTGTTAGTTAATGTTGATTAGCTGTGGAGGCCATCTTGAATTGGGTTGAGAGTTGTAGATGTACATCCAGTGGGTACTTTCTGAAAATTTGAACATTTCTTGAATCATTGAATAGATTTTAATCAGTCAATCAAGCAAGCTTTATTTGTATACAAACTTTCATACAAATCAAATTTAATTCAAAGTGTTTTACAGTGGCAGGAAAAGTTTTCAGTAAAAGCCTGACCAATCCCATGTGTTTTTGTCTACATTTAAAAGTACCACAGTTATGGACTCCTCTCAGACCCTCCAGCACAGAGCTTGGGCAAGTAGAGCAGAATCACCAACTGTTTTTGTTCTGCTCTGTGGACTAGTTCAAAGATAAATCTAATCTTAAACCAAAACCATTTCTCTGAGATAGACTGGTGCTTGGTCATGAAGAGCCTTGAAAACCAATAGGGGTGTAACAAAACGTTTCAGTATAGCATGTTCGGTTCAGTCCACATGCGTACCGTTTCGGTTATTTTTTCATTAATTAAGTTTTATTAACAAGAGATTATGCGCCACGGAACTAAAGTTTCTAAGCGTGCTTCAGCACGGTGCTATTATCTTGCAGCACTCTAGCATTAGCAGCCTAGCATGTTGTTGTGGTTTCCTGTTTGAGAACATTAGAACTTTCTTGTTAAAATACAAGTGAACAAATCCAAAGCTGTGTGTCGACGTTGTTTCACGGAGAATGGATCTGCTGCAGCAACACGTCTAACTTAACACACTTGAAACGCCATCATCCGAACGTGAATGTCTCTTCTACAAGCAAGAAAAGCAGCTTGGTGCAAACACCGATAACAGCAGCATTTAAACAACTTTTTATCAGGTAATTCAGATCGGTCCAGAGCGATAACACAAGCTGTAGGAGTTTTTAAAGCGGGTCTCAAGAACTTTAAAGCCGGCGCATCAACAACATTCGGACGTAGATCCAGAGCTTTAAAAACTCCTACAGCTTGTGTTATTGCTCTGGACCAATCTGAATTACCTGATAAAGGTTGTTTAAATGCTGCTGTTATCGGTGTTTGCAACATGGTGCTTTTCTGTAGAAGAGATGTTCATGTTCGGACGATGTTGTTTCAAGTGTGTTAACAAGTTAGAAGTGTTGCTGCTGCAGATCCAATCTCTGTGAAACAACGTCGACACACAGCTTTGGATTTGTTCACTTGTCTTTAAACAAGAAAGTTATAATGTTCCCAAACAGGAGACCAGAACGACATGCTAGGCTGCTAATGCTAGCGTGCTGCAAGATAATTGCACCGTGCTGAAACACACTTAGGAACTTTAGTTCCACAGCGCATAATTTCTTGTTAATAAAATATAATGAGTGTAAAAATAACCGCAACGGTACGCACACGGACCGAACCGAACATGCTGTACTGAACGGTTCAATACACCCACATGTACCGTTACACCCCTATGTGACAGTAGTCCAGCCTACTAGTCATAAAACAGGAACCAGTCTCTCGTTGTTGCTCAAATAGAAAAATAGCCTAACCCTGAGAATGTATTTTAATAATAAACTGCTGTTTTTGTTACTGATGCTACAGGTGCATTAAAAATAGAACATTGTGAAAAGTTCACTTCAGAAAGTGAAACTCATATTTTACATGGGGCGGCTGTGGCTGAGTGGTTAGAGCAGTTGTCCTCCAATGCAAGAGTTGGGGGTTCTAACCCACCAGCAGTCACATGCTGAAGTGTTCCTGGGCAAGACACTGAACCCCTCGTTGCCTCCGATGTGTGTCCCATCGGTGTATGAATGTGATCTAAAGCTCTGATTAGTCTCTTTAGAATGATTTGTTCAATTAGCTTTGTAGAGATCTAGTAGAGTGCTGTATGAATGGGTAAATGAGGACACAGATTGTAGTGTAAAGCGCTTCGAGTATCTCCATAAGATAGAAAGGCGCTATATAAATGCAGTCCATTTACATAGATCTATCACAGAGTGAAATATTTCACGCCTTTATTTATTGTAATTTTGATGATTATGGGTTACAAATAATAATAATAAAATTCAAAACTCAGTGTCTCAGAAAGTTAGACTCTTCCACAGCCATCTTCTGGTACCTTTGCCTGTGTGGGCCGGAGCAGAGACCTACTGGAAACTGAAACAAGCATCTCCATAAAGCTCGTCAGCAGCAGTATGGAATCTCTAAAATGTCCTGCTAGATGCAGCGTGGACTGTGGACTTCAGAAAACCCAGTGGACCAGCACCAGCAGAGGACATGGACCCAAACCATCCCTGACTGTGGAAACTTCACTCTGGACTTCAACAACGTGGATTCTGGACCTCTCCATCTTCCTCCAGACTCTGGGACCTTGTTTTATAAATGACATGAACATTTACTTTAATCTGAAAAGAGGACAGTGGACCACTGAGAGACAGTCCAGTTATTTGTGTCCTCAGCACTTCTGACATTGCCTCTGATTCAGGAGTGTCTGGACTTGATAAATGAGCCGTTTGTGTCTCATGTCCAGGAGTTCATCAGCTGATCAGTGTGTGACACCAGGAGTTAAAATATTCAACCTCTTCACAATATTCTCATTTTCTGAGATTCTGAGTTTTGGTTCTTCATTGTCTGTAAGACATAATGATCAAACTTAGAATAAATAAAGGTTTGAACTATTTTACTCTGTGTGATAGATCTATGTAAAATATGAGTTCTATTTCGTACAGGCTTCGCCCTTTAAGAGCTGTCGCTTAGTGGGTTTTATCCCGTCATGCACTGAAAAATTTAGTCCACGCCCACCTGTTGTGT